CTTCTACCTGCCGGTGACCTCCTCCTGCTCACCTGTCCTGCCAAAGGGAGCCAGAGTTCAAGGGCTTGGTGTGGACCCCAGCTGGCATCGGGCCTCTGCGCTGAGGGACAACCGTCCACAAAGCTCTGCTGGGTTTTGCACCTGTCACAGAGAGCAAGAGGGACCCTCAGGGCTGGCACCAGGGCTTGGGTATTAGTGGGCAGATGTGAGGACAGCTGTGCTACTTTGAAATGATTGACATACTTCCTTCTCTCTGGAGAACTGCTGTGGCCCTGAGCCACCAAGGGTCCCTGCCCTGACCCTGGGCCCCGTCCTCCCAAATATTTAAAAATATTTCGAATATTACCTTGCTCAGGCTAGTGCTTTTAATGTTTTTATTTAATGACTGGGTTCTAGAGGGGAAAAAAATTCATTGAGCTTGCAGGTCACACCTGCAACGAATATTGAGGACAAATTTGCTGATCATTTGGGGCAGATGGCCAGTATGAAATGGGGAGAGGTTTTAGAAGAGTGAGGAGGAAATATGGTAGTGATTCCCTGCACCTCGACACTGACGATAATCATGATCACTTCTCATCCTTGGGCCAAAGAGAAAGCTGATGAAGTGAGACAGGAGACGACAGTGCCTGGCCTAGAGCAGGTAGGTGCTCAGTAAATACTTGTCGCCGAACCTATGATTGAATGCGTGGCTGAATGACAAGCAGGAGTACCACCTCGGGACATTTGTTTTTTTCAATGACGGTTAATAAGATAAATGATTAGTGCAACAAATGAGAAGCACTTGTTCTGTCAAGTTTGGTCTAAGATACAAAGATGAATCCAGCCCCAAACTATTCATCAATTTAGAAGGAAACGTAAGGCTGAGAAATGAAACTATGCAGCCAGGAATTGATGGGCCAGAGAAAGGTCTGGTATTTGAAAAAGGATATGAAATATAATGAGCAGAGAGTAAAATCAGCAACGGGCACAGGCATTAAAGACGGTTAACATGACACTGGTATTTGCTGCAAACAACGTGCTCTATGAGATAATTCTCCCGCTATACCCGACCTTTCTAAACCCGAGCTACTGAGCTCAGCGAGGCCCCACCTTGGAAGAGGGATGTTGAGGACGTGTGAGTGCTCCAAGGGAGTAGCCAACGGGCATGTGACAAAGTGCAGTCACACAGACGCTCTCAGGACACTGCGCCTGGTTACAAGCTCTGTTGCCGTCTGGAAATTCTTAGTAATTTTACCTCTGAGCTTGTGTTTTGGGAGGTGAAGGGGACAGTGGGGCATGGGTGGGAGCAGAGGAGATGTGTGCACACTAATTTTAAAAGCAAGATGAACATGCCTTTTTTTCATAGGGTTTGAACTGGACTTACCCATGTAAGTTTATGTATTTTAATATTCTGTGTAAAGGGAAAACCATGCATCCATCAAAGGCCCGTGTACTTAGCATAATTCTACCAACTATTCTTAATGATCTTCTTTTCGCCATTTACGCTGATTCGAAGGTAATGGTCCTATTTTTTTCTTCTGAGACAAGATGTCTAGTCAGGTCCTCTGCCCATTTTATAAATGGATTGTTTTTTGATGTTGAGTTGTATACATTCTTTAACTTTTTTTTTCCAGTTACAGTTGACATACAATGTTGTGTTCCTTCCAGGTGTACATGATTAGACAGTTATAGAACTTATGATCACCCCAACAGGGCTAGTGTTCACCTGACACCATACATAGTTATTACAATGTTATTGACTATATTCCCTATGCTGTACGTTGCAGCCCCGTGACTGTTTTTATAACTGGCAATTTGTACTTAATCCCTTCATCTTTTTCACCCATCTCCCCAACTCCCCTCCCACCTGGTGACCATCAGTTTGTTCTCTGTATCTCTGAGTGTTTCTGGTTTGTCTGAGATTCCACATGTAAGTGAAATCAAGTCATTTGCCTTTCTCTGTCTTATTTTACTTAGCAAGATACCCTCTAGGCCCATCCATGTTGTTGCAAATGGCAAGATTTTGTTCTTTTTTATGGCTGAGTAATATTCCATTATATATGTACCACTCTCCTTAATCCATGTGTCAATGGACACTTGGGTTGTTTCTGTATCTTGACTGCTGTAAATGATGCTGTAGTGAACATAAGAGGTGCATAGATCTTTTTGAATTAGTGTTTTAGATTTCTCTGGATAAATACCCAGAAGTGGAATTTCTGGGTTCTATGTGCTAGTTTTAATTTTATGAGGAGTCTCCATACTGTTTTCCATTGTGGCTGCACCAATTTACAATCCCACCAACAGTGCATGAGGGTTCCCTTTTCTCATCCTTGCCAACACCTGATTTATTGATTATAGCCATGGGTGTGAGGTGATACCTCATTGTGGTTTCAATTTCCGTTTCCCTGATNATCCTCGCCAACACCTGATTTATTGATTATAGCCATGGGTGTGAGGTGATACCTCATTGTGGTTTCAATTTCCGTTTCCCTGATGATCAGTGATGTTGAACATCTTTCACGTCTATTGGCCATTTGTATGTCTTTGGAGAAATGTCTGTTCAGGGCCTCTGACCACTTTTTAATTGGATTACTTTTTGGTGTTAGGTTTTATGAGTTCCTTACACATTTTGGATATTAACCCCTTATCAGGTGAAATCATTGGCAAATATCTTCTCCCATTCAGTAGGCTCTTTTTTATGGTTTCTTTCGCTGTGCAAAACCTATTAATTTGATGTAGTCCCATTGGTTTACTTTTTCTTTTGTTCCCCTTGTCTGGAAAGACATATCTAAAAAAATATATATTGCTAAGAGCAATGTCAGAGAGTTTACTGCCAGTTTTCTTCTAGGAACTTTATGATTTCAGGCCTTACATTTATGTCTTTAATCCATTTTGAGCTTATTCTTGTATATGGGATAAGAAAGTGATCCAGTTTTATTATCTGGCATGTATCTGTCCTTGTAACTTTTTTTTTTATGTCACCTTTCTGAATTATGGAGGCCATGTCTTCTTGCACCTTATTGGGGATGTCGAGGTACTCTAAAAATTCACTGAGCTCTTGTAGCACATCATTTTCAAAATATGGTCTTTGCATCCGCAGGATAGTTCATTCAACAACTACTTGAGCACTCAATAGGACACTCACTGCTGCGTTGAGTGGTTTGGGATGCATCAGAACAAAAGAGACAAAAATCTTCTCATTAAATTTATATTTGGATGAGAGGAGAAAGACAATAAAAAAAACTAGGTACTGCGAAATGTTAGAAGTGTTAAATGTTCTGGAGAAACAGAGCGGTAAGGTAATTAGATGTTGTGCTCAGGGGAGACCACTGAGAAGGTGAAATCTGATCAGACTGGAAGGATGCTTGGGAACTGTTCTCGCAGCTACCCTGAGAAGGCGCTCAGCAGACCGGCCCGGCAGGTGCAAGGCGCCCACGGCAGGAGCAGGCCTGTCGTGTTTGATGAGCGGCAAGAGGCCCAGAGAGGCTGCGGCACAGTGCGTAAGGGACAGAAGACTGGCAAAGAGGTCACAGCACAACTAGCATCAATCTGAACACAGTCTTATGTTTTTGATTTTAAGAAGGTTCGTGTCTCCAAGGTTACCGCAATCAAGGTTACCACAACACCAACCATTTCACGGGTCTCAGGATTAATCAGCGCTGAGAAAGCTGGAACGACGAACTAATCCGGCAGCACTAGTGTGAAGCTCTCACGGGGCACGTCCGCCACCAGGGTTCCCGGCAGGAATATATTTAAACGCAAAGAGAACTATTTATATACAATATTGTCATATAAACATTTCCTTTATTTTTTGTGGTTAAAATTTAAAAAAATAAGTTTATAATTTTATTTTTTAATATTTCTTTAAAAGTTGCATACTTTATTAAAAGAAAACAGTGGAAATCTGGATTCTTCTTGAGAAATAATCTTCATCTTTACTGAAAGGTATGGAGAAACAGAGTTCTGTACCAACTAATAGAAAATTAACCACCGATGAGTCTAGTTCCAAACCGAGAAAAATGACATACACACGTTAGGACTGATTCTGTCCATTCAGTTAAAATATTTCCAGTGCTGAACTATATCCACTACTGAAATTCTAAAAATGCTCATTTTCCTGGGTATCCTATTTTGTCAAAAGATTTAGTATTTACTATGTTATTTACATTAATTGACATTTACAAAGAGTGGAGAGATGGGGGACAACACTCTAAAGTATGTAAGGCCTTTCTCTCTTCTTAAATGTTCTTAGTGAACTGAAAATTTAGCCATTACATTTAGATTTTCATAACCTGCAGGTGTCTGAGTCTCCCTAAATCTGTTTCCTCCCTTCAAAATTCTTTCTACTCGAAACAGAACATTTTTGCTTGTTAGTGCTAATCCTGCAGAATTTTTTTAAAAAAAGATTCTATGTTTCATACATTTGAGTTAAAATGACCAAAAAACCCCTATATAGGTTCATTCCCCCCTATAAATACTGGTGTTTTCTATGAACCTATTTCAAATTGAGGGTGATAGTTACATATATTTGTATGTGCAGTGCACAAGTTTCTGTAGAACCTCTGACTTCGTTATGAAGCTTCCTCAACACAACAGAGGATTTATTTTTACTCTGACCAGTCTAAACAACACAGGGAGGTTGGCAGATTGTAATAAAGTTAACGTATTTTACTGTTCTGAAAACAGACTGAGAGTGACGGTGACCCTAGCGTTTGATCACCCAGGCTCCTGACCTTACACTTATTACTGCGGCTGATTTGACTCTTGATTGTTCGACATGTGTCTTCCAGGGGATGATCAGGTGCAAAAACAGCAAATTCTCAGCAGCTGACTTTGCTTCCTTTAGCACTCCTGGTACAGGACTAGTGGGAGTTAAAGAGGAGAGCTACGAGCAAATCAGGGAGTGAGTTCCCTGTGGGTTGCTCTTACTCCCCTCAGGACTGGTCCCTCCTTCCTGGAGGCTGACTGAGGGGGACGGGACCATGGCTTGTGGAGATGGTGGACACTTCCAAAAACTACAATGACATTCTCCAATAATTTTATTATCTCGTTTCATGGTGCCATACTACTGTGCTTTTCACACCGTTTAAAAGTCCCATTTCCATAATTCAAATGCCAAGAAATTACTACACATTCCCTTATACAGTCAAAAATAGATTTACTGGAATGTTTTTAGTCACAGCTGAAGGCAGTAGTGTTCATGACACTTAGCTTGTGGGAACTGCAAAGCAACTGTAATGTGAGAAGCCTCTTGCGAATAGTGATGGAATGGCTGGCTACACAGGCTTCCTGACCCCCTACCTGAACGCAAGAGTGCATGTCCTTATGCCATTAAAGACACGGTAGGAAATCTCCTATCAAAGTTGAACTACAGACACAAATAGTGAACTGGCAAGCATCTCGGTTCAAATTAGATCCTTGGAATGTGGGAAAACAGACGCTGGCTGTCTTGGCCTTGAACATAATTATTAAAAGCACATTTTGCTAGAAAGAAAAATGATACTGGATATTCTCAATGTTCCAGTTTGAAGTGATACTTGCCTCTCAGTTTCTTGAAAAAGAAGTTTTGAAAGTTATATATATAAGTTTCATTTAAATTATACAGCAATCTTTTATTATTATTATTGTCCCAGACGTTGTTTAATGAAGATCTCCGTCATCAAATCAAGTGCGGTATTTCACAACTGTAAGAACTGCAAGAGAAACACAAAGAAGGACCATATAAAAATCTGACCCACATGCCATGCTAGAAACAACAGTCCTACGTGCAGTTGTGTCCACTCTGGAAGCAGGTAATGAGGACTGACCTCTGGGCTGAAGGGAAAGATAACGAGTGGGAATGGAGAAGCTAAACCATTACAAATGCACCTGAACGTCTAACGCTGGCATTTTGATCAAACGGATTATGGCAGAACCTTAACATACAGCTGCTAAAATATTTAAAAAATATTCAGTAACATGAGAAAATATAATATATTAAAAATTATATGTATATCTTAGTTTTTGAAAAACATGTTTATATGTNTTATAATATATTAATAAAAAATTATATGTATATCTTAGTTTTTGAAAAACATGTTTATATGTTAACAGCAAAAGACTTGACATATATATAAAAGTTACAGTAACAGTAGCTAGCTCTGTGTGGAAAGATCACAGCTGAACTCTATTTTCTTCTTAATGCTATTCCACATTTTCCAATTGTCCCTGACAAGGAGAAAGTCCTGAGACATCCTATATTAAATCACAGCAGGGTGGAAGGGACAGAGGAGACAGGCTAATCAGTTGATAGTGGTGGGCAGTTTAGACTTCAAGACCCAGGACCTGGTTCTTTTCTGGCTAGCACTTGGCTCAGCAAAGTCTTTTCTGTGAAAAGCTTTCAGCCGTGAAAGTTTTTCATTTAACGTATCTTGTCAGTAGCAGAATTCGATCTTTCCAAGGAGCAGAAAGGACAGAACTCTCTGGAGATGAGTGTGGTGCCCACACCTTTACGGGGCCAGGAAGGGTAATCCCTCAACAAAAGTCCGTAAGAGGCTGTGTGAGACATGAACCATGTGGGGGGGGGGTTCCCTCATCTGACTGGTGAGTTATGAGGGACACTCTCGAGTCAGTTTTATTATTATTATTATTCTGTTTTTCACCAGGATCTTTGTTTTTCATTTTTTCTAATAACTGAGCTTACAGTGACATCTCGTGGCCATCTGATGCAATTACAGCTCAGAAATTATGATGCTTATTTTCACTTCGAAGAGCTGCTCCTTCTGGCCTCTCAGGGGTGTTTCCAGGTGACAAGAAACCTTTGCAGAAGTGTCTACTCAATGTCTTAGATATGCAGCTGTCTCACAGGGTCCCCAACAAAAAACCATATCCCCTGTTTCAGGCTTAGAAGGAATATTTCTTGCTTGTCTGGTACACACAAAGGCTTGTTCACCTGAGTACTCGAGGCCCCCTGAACACTGTGTGGTGCCCAGGCTCCTCTGAGTCATGTAAGAGAGGAGCCACCAACCTAGGAGCTGCACTCACAAGTAGCACATTTCAGACCCCAAACAATTCCTTGGTCTTGGTTGATCAAGAACAAAATTTTTAAATCATGGGAAATCAAAACCCCCAAACATCCTTCAGCCCCTCTGCAGGAACCCAGGCCAGTGCTGATGTATAAGAAATATGGGCGGGGCTGAACCGTGCATGTTATCTAAAAGGGTCCCTGAAAGATTTCAAAGAAAATTTCTCTTTACAAAAGGGGAAATTAAGCTTATGAGGCCCATGTGCTACGTTAAAATTACACGGGAAGCAGGAAGCACTGTCAAATAAAAAATAACTTGTGTTTACATGCATACATTATTGCCATTAAAACAAATGTTCTTTTTTAGAAACTATGTAACATTTCCAAGAATCTACCATGTCCTGATATTTTCATTTGGAATTCTAGTTATTTTAAAATGTGTGTTGCACAGAAAAGCACATTTCTTCGTCAGTTGTGTTGTATCAGACCTTTGACCATGTAATTTTGGTCTCTGTCATTTACACAGGGTACTTTTACTCTGATACCTTTTGCAGGTAAGCTTTATCTTCAGAGAAATTTCTGGAACAGATATCCTTGAAAGATTTCTTTACGACCCTGCTAGAAGGTCCTTTCCAGGTACTTCCTGTGAATCTCATGCAGCCCAGCTGGAGGGACCTGACTCCTGGACCCACATCCCCACTTTAATAGGGAGAATCCACCTGGATGATCTGCACACCTGTCTCCGACAGGGAAGAAAACTGCTTCCGCCCGAGTCTGGACCAGGCCAGTGCATACCTTCAACACTGAACTTGACTATGCAGAATTCTCACACTTAGCTTATAACCGCTAGAGTCACCTTGTCCTTAGGAGCGCTGACCATTCTGATCCTGCTGCCCCAAGCTGGTCAACTCCCCTGTGTTTTAGACCGCTGGTTTTAGTTACTATTGTCACTAGAAGGATACGGATCTAGATGTACATAGTCACTGCAACGGTTACCCTTACTCAGTCATGGAAGGCTAATTCCTTAATCAGAATTTCACAATCCCTCACAGTTGCTGAAAATCTGCCTGGAAAAGAGGATGGCAAATACACTCTTGGGCGAGCTCTTGTTTCCTGGCGGGATGCTGCCTCCCATGAGCACAGGACTAAGAATCTGTTACCTTAAGTAACATCACTAGTGATGCTGCTGTCTCCCTGAAGCACAGCAAAGAGCCAGTCCCTCCAGGACAGCAGACCTGTCCTCTCCATCCAGCCCTGATGCTGGTGTTTAGACTTCATGCCCAGGACCTGGTCCTTTGCTGGCTAGCACTTGGCTCAACGAACCCTTTCTCTGTGAAAAGCTTTTGGTCTTGGCAGGTTTTCTGTTTACCACCACAGTGTATGGTTGAATCTTGGTATCTGCAGTAGTTACGTTCTATACAGTCACCACAAACACTGAATCAGTGTTTCCCAATGTTCCTATGGGAAATACAGGGTTAAAGTCCTACGAGCCCCTGGGCATATTTTGTCAACAGATCAATTCATAACCTTGTGTTATGTGCATTTCTGTTGAAAGACTCCCTATGTAATATATGCTGTTGAATCATTAACACTGAATTCATGGCCGAGAGAACAGTAACTGAGGCCTAACTGAAGCCTAGTGAACAGCCGATTTTCTTCTGACCGCCCATCACAGTCTTCCTGCATGCAGCAACATGGATGGGCGTCAGCACTGCACGTGGGGGCCATGTTAGACAGCAAGACCACCAACGAAACGCACATGTATGAGAAACGTGGCACTCACTGGACTTTGAAGGACACTCGTTTACTCTACGAGAGCAAAACCAGAAGGCAGGGCATGGCCTCGTCAGACATCAGCTAGGAACGTGAGCTCAGGTACTCAGACTTTCACTGTTCTGAATACAATGACTGTGAATGCAACACAAGTACTGATGTGGGTTACAAATCACTGTTTGCTAGCAGGTGAATTCGCAAACCCGAATCCACCAATATGAGTGAGGATTGACTCAATTTCTTTGCAACAAAACTCTTTTCTCTTTAGATAGAATTATTACCATGGAATTTTTCAAATGATTATTTTGAGACACTTTCCAAATCTCCATAAAGTCCCTGAAAACATAGGGAAAGAGGCTTTGGAGAAAAGGAGATATAAAAAATGATCTTACTTTAAAAATAATATTAAGGATATTAATGACTGAAATCAACCTCAAATCGAAAACAGAAACAACAAAAAATTCATCTGGAGAACTTATCTAGATTTGTCCTTCAAACACGATACTAAGAAACGCAAGCTGCCATTTCTGAATGTTAGTAACAACCAGCAGGTGAGTGCCACAGCCCTGGTGCAACAGGAGCCGTAGCTGTCCTCAAACAAAGCACTTAGCCCTGTGTTTGCATATGATTTAGGAGCATTTTCAGAGATCACAGAGTCTAGGCAAAGAGCTCTTGACTCCAGTCAGAAATCAGAATTCAATCCTGACAGTCATACCAGGTCAACTGAAAACAAATTAAAAAGGGAATTAAAATGAACCCCAGAACAAATGATACTCCCCCAAATTAATAACCCATAAATACTTACTGATGATCACCAACAAAAGGATGACTGCAACCAAGGCCATGATGGCTTTAATCTACAACACACAAAAGGCAGAAGGGTATTAGTATCAATGCTGACTTTATTCACACGATTGTCTGTTCTGTTAGTACCAGAGGCTACTAACTCATCAGTGAGCAGGCTCATCCCTTTAGAGGCTTTCAACTATTTTTTCAAATGAACTTGCTGGCTATTTGTATCTTTTTGTTAATAGTCAGGGTTCCCCAAATTTGAGCATTTTGCTTGCCTGGATTTTTCTGTTCAAGGCTCACTGCCCAGTGGACAGTAATCAAAGTCTCCATGGACCTGGACTTCTGATTTCTTGCACTTATTTCTAATAGTAGACCAGGAAAATTACGGGATTTTAGCAGCTCTTTAAAAAGCATCAGGACAGGATAAACAGCTCCGCCATCCAACACAAATGATTTCACACACACACAGTACAAGGCAGCAAATAGCACTATTCTCAAAGGAGATGAGAATTCTGTGAGTTTGGGCTCCCCTTACTTTCTTCCTGGCAGTTTTATCTGTTTTGAGGAAGGGAAGTTAGATTCTCCATGAATAATCTTGTGTAATAAATAATGTGGCTGAAAGCATTCTCTGTGTCCATTTCACAGTTGCGGAGAATACGTAAGATTAGTTCTTAGTGAGCTAATATTTTAAGTTCACATTTCTCTAATGTCATATTCATTTAATCCTAGAACACATAAATTATAAACTGATTTGATTTTCCTGATGAATTCAAATGAAAGTCTTATTTTCATCAAAGATTTTCACAGATGATCAATTAAAGATGGTTCAGTCGGAAAAAAAGATACCCAGTTATTGTAAACACATGAACATTCTGTGAGTATCACAAATGGCAACCAGGAGTAGCCAATGAAACAGAACTACTGGTGACACTGCAGTGGTCTCACATCCATGACAAGAACAAAGTGACCAAGAGAGCACAGGGAAGCTCTGCAATCCAGACACCAGGTACCTGTTATTATTATGATAACGAAAAACTGTAGAGGCAGACTCAGGTCAGATGGATACTGGAAGTACATTATCAGTACCTGTCTGCGTCCGCATTTCACTATAAACTAAAGTACTTTAGGGACAAAGTGATTCAGAGAATATATGGGTTCTTTGCTTTTTATTTAACCTAAAAACATTTCTAGAGTAATTTGGAATTTTATGGCCATTTTTCAACTTTATCCATACATACAACAACTTGCCCTGCTAATATGTGCTAGGCTTAGAGCATTTAAATGGAAACACCAATATCACTATAAAACATCTCAATAGTTTCTTCCCTTAGGTCTCTAACACTGTCAGGAATGTGTACAACCAAAAATGGCAGTGATGTGTCATGTGTGTCTAAAGCACTTTTCTTCCAAGTGACATGGACAAAAATCTTTTTACCACCAGATGCATAAGAGCCTCCAGGATGCTTAAGACAGTGTCAGTGATTCTCCCTCCCCACCCACTGGAGAATTCTGTTCACTTATTTATTTTTAAAGTCAGGTGTACTGAGATACACTTCATAGAAATAAAATTCACCCTTTTAAAGTTCATATTGATGGGTTTTGACAAATATGTAGTTGTCAACCACCAGCACAATCAAATACAAGACATTTCTAGCATTCCACAAAGTTCCTTCATGCTCTGCTGTGGTCTATCTCCATCCTCTACCCTGACCCAATGGCGACCTCTGACCTGCTTTCTGTCTCTGTGTCCCTCCTCTAAGCCCTTCTAAATAATTTTGAACTCAATCCAGCAAATGGTAGTGACAGAGACTACTTTAAATATCATTTTAAAATTAATTCAACTTCCCCCTTAAAAGCTTACTATTCCTCTGATCTTAACCCCATAAAATACAAAATCTTTAGACAGCGCTGAGAAAAGCTAGGCAATGCACACTCTGACCACCTTTCCAGGGCTAGGTGAATGGGTGTGTGTGTGGGGAGAGATGGTGAGGGTTCTTCCAAATTAGTCTCTGAAATAGAAAACTTCTATAGAAATAGAAATTTAAAGAAAATAGAAAACTTAAATTCTAGATAAGAAGAGCAATGGGACATATTTCTTTCCTATGTTCTACTTCTGAAAGTAAGAGGTCTCGACAGGCAGGCAGACAAAAATAAGTAAATCCAATGCAAATCTTGGAAGAAACCCTTAGTGTATGTGAAAGTGAAATTTAGAAACTTATTGCCAAACTTGAAAATGAGAGGCTAAAAACAATGGGTTTATGTCTAAGATTTCACCACCACCAAAAATGATACACAGAATCAGGAGGAAAGGGAAAAGATTTGCTCATACTTATAAACTCTCAAAAAAAATCTCCTGTTTAATGACTAGCAGCCATACTTGATTTAAGAAGTAAATTCATTTCTACAAAGTGTTTTGCAGGAATATATTAGTACATAATAATCCTCACTTTTTCTTTGTTAAAATTTTCTTTTCTTTCTTATTTCTCTAGAATGAGTGAAATTTTTTTCTTAGCCACATCTGCCATATCCTGACACATAAAATGCTTTTTTCTCCCTTTCAAAAAAATTATTTTTAGTTTTCATTTTTAAAAATATCTGTATATAATGCTAGAGGCGGCTCCAAAAGGTACTAATAATAAATTCTAAGAAAAATTAATATTTGTTTTAAGCTTAGAGGTAGCCAAATTATTAATAAAATGTGGTAACTGTCTATGAAGAAATCCATGAAAACCACCTTTTAGGCATTGCTCGAATCCATTAATTATTTCTGTCCCCAAGCCATTAACCATTCAACAAACATTTACTGAGTTTCCACCCGCCCCAGGTTCAGAAGACACCACAGAAAGTGAGTGTCTGTCCTCACGGAGCTTGTAGTTGAGGGGCCCTGCCCCTCCTGACTCTGGACAGCATGCGAGCGCTGCCACCCTTTCCACGGCTTCATTTACTCACCTTGCACCCACGCCACCACATCTGCCGCCGGAGCTGTTTGGATCTGTTGCTGAAAGCGGTTGCGTTATCCGATAAGCTTTCTGTATCACACAGAGGATGGAGACAAGGATTAGACGACATAACGGGATTCTTTTATCTAGTTACACAAAGACAAGGAAGTATTAATTTCTACTTCTATAAATTTATTCCCTTTAAGCATGAAAACAACACCCTCCCTTTCCTCCACCCACAAACTGTGACATTCTGCATTGTAAAAAAAAAAAAAAATCACTGCGGGTCAGTTTGCTTAATTCATTTTCACAATAAGATTAAGAGAGGTCTTTCCAGCGCCTCAAGCTTTCGAACAAACAGGAATTCTGGTAAGAAAATATTCTTTAAAAATTCAAGTACTTGGCACGTCTATAGAAAAAAATCAACAGGTGGAGGTTCTATTCTTAGAAGACTCCAAAAGTGACTGGTTTAGAAGCAAAACTATGAATTTTAAAAGTGGTTAAATAAGCTTTCTGCTTACACAAGTCTATCAAGGACTAGTCAGATACTGAGCCACTCATTGTTGAAACAATATCTGAATACTTAGTATGTGCCAGGAACTATTACAGGCACAGAGACAGACATGTGCAAGTAAAGAAAGGTTACTAAGTTACCAAAGAAGAAATAAAACGATCAGGCACATTTGAAGTAAATGTGATTAGACCCCTCCTCCTGGAGCTCATGAAAAATACAAAGCACATCAAGAAAAAAGAAAAAACTGCACTATGACCCCTCAACAATGAATTTTTAAATTTTCCATTCTCAACTGATCACCTGAAGAAATAATACAACAACAAGATGATTCAAAGTAAAGGGAGCTAAAGTGAAAATGTTAAAGTCGTCAGCTAAGAACCAAATACTGTTTTCCTAAGTCAAAGCTCCTAAACTTCGGCTAGAAAAATGGGAGAAGTACACTACTGAAACAGGTTAATATGGAGAAATATGTGAAATGTTTGTACCTGATTTGTCCTGAAGTTCATCTAGTCTCTCCCCTCTTTCAATTACCTTTGTGATATTTTCTTGCATGACATCAATAACTTCATCCACCTGGTTCTGAACACTAGTTTTAAAAAAAGATTAAAAACGTTTATTTTCCTTTTGAGAATTTTATAATTTTTAAAACTATGAAATGTTAAAGTTTAAGGTATTATAGCAATTAATGCCTCCGGTAATGAAAGACGACATGATAGAAATAAAAGTAACATTGAACTTAAGTGTTAGTTTCAGCCCTGTTTCTGCAAATGAAAGGGGCTGTCAGAATGCTTAGTTTCAGCCGTTTCTGCAAATGAAAGGGGCTGTCAGAATGCTCAGGAACTGCAGCATTTAGTCAAACAGCTTGACTCTGGCCAATCAGCTTCATTTTCTTTTCAGCAGGGAGCTGAGGCATCACACGGACACAGCTGTAACCTCAGTGTGCTGTACAGTTCACACACTAGGACTACCAAAGGAGTTGGCCAGGTATGTTAGAAGCTCATGAAAATACTTGGTTTCCCAAATGGAAATGTAAGGTTTGCTCTAGGCCACTGATGCTCAATGGGCAAAACTCTTCCTGGTTCATCAGTTTTCTCTTAAACAGAGTTTAAGGCAACTGGCAACACCTGGGAAGGTTTGA